ATGTAGTTACTGCAACTTTATCTCTATCTTTTTCTTTATTTTTTGAGTAAACTTTTCTTTTGAGATTTTTAAATTTAATAGTCATATCTTTTTTTTTTTTTGGTTTCCCGCCTGGTATCCGGGGCTTTGTCTCGACTAATCCGGACCGACTCGCGTCGCGCACCTAAAAATGGTGGGTGAGTCTCCCAACGAAGGCTACTGTGTACATAAGGTCTCGAACTCGAGATCTTATTTAACCTGAAGTAAGCTGCTTACCACTTGATCCAACCCCTCGTTGGTATAGTCATATCCTTTTGGTTTTAATAAACTTAACTGCCTTTCTACTTCTTCTTCTGACTGTTTCATTTCCATGGTGTAGGATTCTAAGCTGGATGTTACAATTGGTCCATACGAGACATATGAAGATGCATCGTTTGGGTACAAGGTGTTGATGTTTTACTATTTCCTTCCACTCCAATTATTTTAGTATTGCATAACGTTGGCTTTGTTGAAGAAGTCAGGCTTACTTAATAGTTTTGCTTTTATATTGCTTCCCTTGTGAAAATATTGCAACATGCCTTTTCTTTCCATAGGTGCATTGAAAATGCTCTTTTGAATTTGAAATATGTCCTCTGGAAACTTTGGATAACTATTATATCTGGTGTACTATAAGTCCATGAAAGATTAAATTTAAATTTACAAATTTATTTCTGTGAAAAGTAAAGGAAAACTTCATTTCATCCCCATGATTTGGGCAATGTACAATGTCCCATCCATATACAGTTAAGTCAAATCTATTTAGAATTAAACTTTGAAATGGCAAAGGCTAGCGTTTCTTGGAATATCGGAACTCAGTATACCACAGTGTATAAGTGTCATAAGGCAAACCACATTATGGTAAATATGAAGTAGGCACTACTTTTTTTTTATTATTATTATTACTTTGGGGGGTGGTGCATTAAGTGAAGTTATCCATTATAAAGAATTTATTGATACTTTTCATGGTCTCAAATATTTCACTTTCTAATTTATTTTTTATAGATGGATGAAAAGAGACCTATAAATTAGAAGATATGTTCAATTTCTAATGTTATAGATGTCAAAGACATTGGGAATTTTCAAGGCTTATACTTATACCTAATCCTTATAAATGTTTTTCCGTACTGAAATTCTTTAATTAACTGAATCTTTCATTCATCTTAATTATCCTCATGAACTTGTTAGCTCATTTTGGACAGCTTGTTGTATGGCTTAAGTGTGCATGTCTGCTGCAAACTGCATGCCCTTGTGTTGTACATATTGGAAATCAAATTTGAAACAAACTGTATTCATGCATGTTGCAATGATTTGATTATTTTGATGTGATGTGCAGCTTGTTTAACACCCTATATTTATCTTAGGCTACATTTGAAGCAGTTATTGGAGTTCGAGATGACAAAGCAACTGCTCAAGTTAAACTCTTTGGTGATAATTTGCAGGTATTTTGTGTAGTTTTGACAAGCTAAGAGCCTAAGATGTATTGCCTTTCTTCTGAGAAATTTGTTCAAAATCTTTTCTATCTTAGTTTTTGGAAAAAAATCTTCCATTGGATAACGCTTACAAATCAAAAGATGTTATTGCTGCTCCCATTCGTGTCATTCAGCTTATTTACAATGCAGGGGTGAGTTGTTACTTGAAAATCTTTTATATTATTATATTCTTTTCGAAAGAATCTTTTGATTATGTGGTACTAGGCCTGTCACGCATGGAAACAAGTAAATGTATGTTCACATATATGCATAAGTTTAGACACGCTCGCATATATTTGCATCTTCATTCGCATTTAAGATTTTTGGCTCTATGCTGTAGGAAGATTTTGTTCTAAACATCGTAAGGCACATATTCACTGTTTAAAAATCCATCTTCATGCCAACCTATTTGAACTTTGATTTAGTAACAATTTTGTTGGAAATAGACACATAAGTATTTAGTAGATTGAGAGAGTAACTAGATGGACCAACAAAGAACTTATGCACATACTCTATGTGGATACATCACATTGTTAAATGATTTGTATTGAAAATTAAAAATATGAGAAATAAGAAGAAGGTACGAAGGTTTTTATTTTGATTATCTAATTTCCTTTTCTCTTGACCGTAATTCTAATTTATACTATAATATAATTTTAAACAGGATGTAAAGGGTCCTCAGACGGTTGCCTTCAATTTACCAAATGATGAACGAATTGTAAAGGACCGAGGGACATCCATGGTCATGCTGAAGAATGTCTCAGAGGCAGAATACACCTTTTAGTTCTTTTCAGAAAATTTTAATCATTATGCTGGAATAAAAAAGACATAGAGGTTAGACTTTTAACACTTTTCCTTCTCAACCAGGTTTAAGCACATTCTTCAGCCGATAGTTGAGGCATGTATCGAAAAGGAACAAAGGGAACCTGTAGATTTTGAGTCTTTCTTTACTCACACTATCTGCCATGAGTGCTGCCATGGCATTGGGCCTCATATACTACGACACTTCCTGATGGCCGAAGGTCAACAGTTAGATTGGTTAGTTCTGTGACAGCCTTTTATTGTATATGTTTCCCGTTTTGGAAAATTGAATCTAAAAACATGTCTGTGTAATATCTCACAGGC